GAAAGTCTTTAATTTTTTTTCTTATTTGTTTTATTTTGTTATATTTTATACATTTATAAAAGTGTTGGAAAAAATCTTCTTCTCATTAAACAGAAATTGGGGAAAATATCCATGGGGGCTAATAATTGAGGACGGCTAATAAGTCTGACTTCAACTGTATATATAAAAAACCGTTTTGCAACAAGTCATTGGTAAAATTATCACGTATATATTTATTTACTTTATAACTCAATAGCATCCATCCACCCCATGATTATTAGAATAAAATATGCATCTCTGCAATATTTTAAAGACTACTGCATCATATTGGAGACATGAATTTAAAGCCTTTAAGACAGGGGGTGTCAAACTCAAAATGGCGGGGAGCCATATCAGTGACTGACCATTCATAGGAGGGCCGTTTAAACAAAAAGGTGGAAAACTGATACAATTGATGCAATCAGACATCCTGTCCCAGAGTATCAAAGCTCCTTCTTTTTATTTGCTTGATGTAGCCTACATATTGAATGGGTAGTTTAAATAAAATACTACAATTTAGGGCAACACAGTGGCGTAGTAGTTTGTGTTGTCGCCTCACAGCAAGAAGATCGCTGGTTCGAGCCTCGGCTGGGTCAGTTGGCATTTTTGCATGTTCTCCTTGTGTTCGCGTGAGGTATCCTCCAGGTGCTCCGGTTTCCACCACAGTCCAAATACATATGCAGTACATGTGAATTTTAAGTAAGCTAAATTGTTCGTAGTGTATGAATGTGAATGGATTTTCCCAGAGATGGGTTACAGCAGGAAGGGCATCTACTGCCTAAAAACATGCTGGATAAGTTGGTGGTTCATTCTGCTGTGGCAATCCCAGATTAATAAAGGGACTAAGCTGAAAAGAAAATGAATAAATGAATGATAATACAAGTTAATAATAGGCATAATAATAATTATTATTATCATGTCCCAATCAATTGTTGCTTAACAAAAAGTTAAACAGAGTGCGCAAGACAGTAGAATGCAGTTTGGGTAACTTTATTGACTTTACTGGCAATTGTTCTTCTCAATATTATTCTTTTTTTGTAAAACGCAGAGGGGAAAAGTTTGTAGACTATATATTCACATTTTGTTTAACATTACATTTTGTTTAATTTAGCCAGCAGTAAAACTTCACTAATGCACAATTTTTATACAATTATTATATGCATATGAGAAAAATCCATTAATGAGGTTATTTGAATCGAATATTAGCAAAATTGTCATATTTACACCACCAGCATAACACGTAAGCCATAAAGAGGTGTTTGTACCACAAAATACAGGTGGTAAAAAACTCATTATAATCAAATGACCCTTGAACTTATGGACATTTTAAGAGTTCACACTTAGTTGATGATTGATTCTAAAGCTTGTTTGGCATGCTGTCCCGGGCGAGAGCCCTGAGCGCATAAGATCCTCCAGCCCAGGGCTCTCTCCCGTTTGCAAGGCGAGAGGGGTGTTTGAGCTCAGGTAGATCTCGAGAACTCCCCTGCTGTAGTAACTATTAAACAGATAGTGATTGCTCTTAAGAGATAACTACTTACTAGGAGCAAGTCTATAGTGCCGAATTGGATTAGTCAATAAGTTGCATGTTTTTGGAAGGTGGGAGGAAACCGGGGAACCCGTGGGAAACTGGGTCACCGTGTCACCCATCTAGGAAAGGAGGTGGAGTAGGGGTGGAAGGGAGGATTCTTGAAAACGAAAATGGCTGTGATATGAAATTTAGGGCATTTTTAGTGGCTTAGGAATTATTTGATTGGTGGTTCATAAATTGGATAATGTGGGACCAGCCGCAAGCAATCATGAGCACGTGATCCTCTCAAAATTAGTTTATAAATAAACTTAACATATTATAACGTTTAAATCAGCCACAGAAATAATCTGCATGTGCTCCCGACCGCACACTGAGAGAAACCAAAAGTAACCCGAATATATAGTACAGTACCTTAAATGTCCAGTAGGTGGGGGGTTCAAGCCACAAGTGTATGCGACTGCAAAACAATAATTGCGATTTAAAAATGTAATGTTTTCGGGCCAAACCTCGTTATAATTTTGACATCAGTTGGGGTTAAAAAATGGAGAAGGGGGGCCGCAAATAGCCCACGGGCCGGCAGTTAGCGAACCCTGCTTTAAATAATGAAATGTGATGGAAACTTTGGTGAAAATTTTACCCTACAAACTCATTTATACAGTATGCTTTCAGTCATGTGTTTGATAATTCATGTTTGGCAATTCCGGCTGTGAATTCATGGTCATGATCATTTTCTTATTTATCAATTTTGAACATCTGACTACACAGAAGTGTCTGCATAGGTGAAACAAAAGTCTACAACAAATATACAGTCATTTACAAATAACACAATGTTAAATGCATCCAAAAACATAGACCTAATGGGTTTAGCTACTTCCTAGCTAGCAAATTTCTTGTGGCTCAAATCCGTCCCACATCAGACACTTAAATTCGGCCCACATACCACATGGAATCTGGACCACAATTAAGCCATAGCAATATCACAAATCAGCCAGAAATCAACCAAATGAACCAGAACTGACCCTATTCTGGGCCACAGTTTGCTTTTATTCTGGCTTTGATCGGGCCCACACCAGACACATACATCTGGACCCAGGGGCGGACTGGCCATCTGGCAATTCTGGCAAATGCCAGAAGGGCTGGACCATTTTTTAAATGTGGGCCGGTATGCTATTTTTTATTAAATATTTTTATAAGTATTGCTTTTACATACAGGCAGTTTTTGTTTCTTGCAAGTTGTGAATATTATGATGATGATGATGATGATGATAATGATGATGATAACAATAATAATAATAAATGTGAGGCATTGGCCCAATCGGCAATGGCCAGCTGGTTTCGAGATGGGCCGACCCAATCAGAGGTTACGCGGACATAATCAAAATCTGGCAAGAATGTCAAACAAACATTAGGTGCAACACAAGCTAATTGTCAGAGATGGACCGTAAAAAAAGGAAAGGCGGTACCCAAAAGCTCAGAGAAACTTAAAAATTGCTCTAGAATCAGACGCTGCCAAATGCATAAAATTAACTGAAATAGTCTCAAAAGGGGACAGCACAATGGGTAGCGCTGCCGCCTCACAGCAAAAAGGTCAATGGTTAGAGCCTTGGCTGGGTCATTGGTGTTTCTGTGTGGAGTTTGCATGTTCGTGTGGGTTTCGTCCCGGTTTCCCTCACAAGTCCAAACACAAAATAAATATCTATTAAACATTTATTACATATGGTACTGCTTATATTATTTTACCATTTGTACACCAATAAAAGTAGTGAATATGCATGTCCGAGGGTGGGGCTGTGTCGGTGTGATAATGTGGGCTGATGTGGCTACAGTGCCAGGGCTGATTTTTAGTCCCAGGCCGCCCCTGTCTGGACCACAAACTGAATGGAATGACGGCTCTTGGGCGGTCCGATCCTGTTTGTCAGATCTAGGCCACAAATAAGCCAAAGCAATACCACATATCATATACCTTTAAATTCAATCAAATTAACCAGAACTGGCCCCATTCTGGGCCACAGTTTGCTTTTATTCTGGCCCAGATCTGGCCTACACCTTACACTTGCGTTTTTTTTTTTTTTTTTTTTTACTGGCTTTTTTGTTGTAATGAATACACTTTTCAAGCAAAGTTCTTAAAAGTTACAGCAGCCAAAATGAAAATTTATATTAGGAGGTTCAAAGCTATGAGCCCAACTAAAGCAAACACTTATGTTTTAAGATAAATGGGCCACATTTGCCATATCTGCTCTGGATGACTATATAACGGTTGCATTAGCCAGAGTTTACTGTGCCGAATATTCGAATAAAGTAGCCCACATATGTTTTAAGATAACTAGGCCACATTTGCCATATTTTCTCTGGGGCACATTAGGCTCACAGCCACAATAGCCAGAGCTTACTGTGCCAAATATTAGCCAAAAGTGGCCCACATATGTCTTAAAATAACTAGGCCTCATTTGCACTTACACTTGTGAGCCACTTTAGGTTTAGACCCAGATTACCCTTAAATAACTATGCCACATTTTTGCCAACTGTGGCCCAAATTTATCCTCCATCATTTGGGCCAAATTTATTGTTTTTAACGAGGTTCACATTAGGCTCACATTCAGATTACATTTTACCATAAGTGGCAAATCTTTGCCTTAAATGGTCCATATATGAATTTGTATCTTTGGCCACCCTTTGCCATTGGACAGGTGTGCCACTTCAGGCTCACATTCATTTTATCTGGGCTAAAGGAATACCACCAGTGCCGCATAACTGCCTAAAGTTGCCCACATTTGCATGCTACCTAAGTTGGAAAATCAGTGGTCACAATAGCTGATAAATAATTAAGATGGCTCATGTCCTGATGACACACAAGTCTGACTAAAGAAATAAACAACCTGAAGGGCATATCATAGATGGAGGACGTCACCAAATCTTCATTTCACAGTGTTTACTTTGGAAATATCTTTTTTATGAATACATCGTAGACCTCCGCTGGCCTCAATTCCTCTCCAGCGATAGGTTCAGATTGCGGCAGCGAGACTCTATGGGTGATTTTAGGTGAAGGCCACAGAGATTTGCATGCAGAGCTAGTAAGTAGACTAGATGACGTATAAGGCATCACGATCTGCCCGGGGGGTTTGCTGCAGCAGCGCCTCTTGAACCTTCATGCCCATCTAACATTTTTAAAAAGAACTTGGGTCATTGCCCTCTTGCCGCAGACTTTATTTCTAAACCTTCTGCCCTATCGTTGATGCTCTTTGCCTTTAGACAGAAGTGCTCCTGGAATAGACCACTTAGAAGTGTTCAGAGGCAGATGTCAAGTTCATTAGTGCCTGTTTTTTGGCGCAAACCATCCTGCCACTCAAGCAGACTGGCCTTATAAAATTGAGACACTTGGGGATCGCTTATGGAGAGTTTTCTGTGTGCGCTGAAGCTAATCGCTATTTCTGACTTTGTTCTTTTCTTTTGGCAGCGCAGTCCAAGTGCCAACATGAGAGGTGAGAGGTGCTGGACGAGATTCTGAGAGACGCCGTGTGGCTGGGAATGTGTGGCGCATAAAAAATACAGGTCCCCACAAGAGCTTTCTGGTCTCAGCCGGTGCCATAAATCGATAGCTGAGAACTCGGGTTTCTTCATCAAGATATTTCTACTGGGGTACAAACAGAATGATATTCTTGAGCACTTGCTGACCAGAATCTGCACTCCAGAGGATACTATTTTTGTGGATGTCTGAAGTCTTTTTCGCACTGCAGCTCTGAAAAACATTGGCAGACTAAAAGAATATATTTATATATAGCTGATAATACTGATAAGTCTTTCAGCTGCCTGTCAAGGATCCTTTTTTTAACGCTTACGCTGACACTTTTGGCACTTCAGAGACTATTCCTATCAGCTTTGGTCTGTCTAAATCATAGCTATTTTTATTCCTCTACATATTTAGATGAAAAGTCTCCCACTACAAAACCATTTGTGTCTACTTGTCTGAATGGTTGAGAGCAGAAGGGAGGTTCACGCTTAACATTTTCCCATTTTCACAACCTGTCTACAGTCTGGTGCTAATCATGGTTTTTCATCACTAGAACTGACTTCCATCTTTTTTTCATGCAAAGTGAAACACATTAGCATATTTATGGGCTGAGATATATCAAATTGTGTACAGTGTGCTACATGGATCCTGCGTTCAGTCATCAAACGAAGGAACAAATATCTTGCGACGTGAAGAAAATGGAATATTCAAGAGCTCTGCGCACTTAAAGACGTGACATAAGGCAGAACCTAGGATGTGATGGAGAACATGAGTTAAATTCCCTTCTTTATGCTTGAATCTGTGTGTAATTAGCCAAAATATATTCATTTGTGTTACTGTTTTTATATTAATGACGCATTCATAAGAACACTATTATTGGCCAGATCAGCCAAGAAGCATCAGTTGATGTCAAATCTCATAAGATGGAGAATTTGGATGAACTAGAACATCCATTGTTGGCTGACAGCCCTAAAAACTCAAGTGAAACAGGCACCAATAGCGGTGGACTGTTAAAAGGCATATTGGTGAGAAACGAGGAGGACAAAAGACTGCCCCCGCTGGACTGGAGGAATTATTGCAGTTCTACAGATATTCAACAGCAGCAGCTACTGGATCCATGTTCGCTGCCCAGCACACTAGAGAGTTTTTATCCTCCTACAACCATCTGGGCCGCTGCTGACTCTCTAGGCATCCACAGTAAGGAGTATCTGGAAACTACTTTTGTGGACATTGGCCCTGGTTCACCACTGGAAAGGAAATTACTGGCAGAGACGAGAGATGTCCATAGTGTATCCTACAGCATAGATGATGGGGATGACCTCTTGCCAGATTTTGAGGTAAGGATTTTTATTGAAATACATGTTTTTTATCAGTTATTTTGGTAGTATTTACCCTGAGTACTTATTTAAAAAAGGGTTTTAACCTGCATATTTGAGCAAATAATCTTTTCATCAAAATGAAACACACTGCAAAAAAGTATTTTTCAGACAAGCAAAAATTATTGTTTTGTTTTAAAAGTAGAAAGCCAGATTTATGTGGGGTTTTACCTTGAAACATGCAAAATGACTTGCCAGTGGGGGAGCAAATTATTTTTGTTTTTGGTTTGAAATAAGATTATTTTACTTACCCCACTGGTAGATTATTGTTGCTAGATTTAAGCAAAAATCCTTGACTAAAAACAAAATAATACATTATACTTGAAAATACTTCTTAATGGGGATGTACAGTAATGATTCACCTGACTCACGATGTGATACGATTCACGATACTAATGTCATGAAACAAGATTTTGTCACAATTTTTAACAAAATTATTTGAGAAGAAATTAAGGTAAATAAGCGTCTCTTCATTTTTTCTCCAATGCTGCAGTTTTTATTTTTTGCACATTTTTTTACAAAATAAAATATTTTCTGCAGGAACTACATTTCAATTTTAAAACAAAATACAAATAAAAAGTGAATAAATTCAAACTAAATAAGACTCTTTAATATAAACAAACTAAAACTTTGACTGTGCAGCTAAATTAAAAATTTAAAACAAATTCCAAATCAAAAATGAACAATACAAATTAAAGAAGGCTCTTTAATACAAACAAACTAAAACTGTGACTGTGCAGGGATTTGACTTTTTTTTTAAATATCAGAATATCTGGCATTTTTCTAACATAATCTGAGATCTTTGCACAATCACAATGTCTCCTGATGCTGAAAAAACTCTTTCTTTGAGGACTGATATGGCTGTTATGGAAAGGAAAACCTTTTCTAAACCAGAGAGCAGTGTGTACAGAGGTGGCCAACAGCCCCCTCAGCTCCTGGGGACTGGCCACTAGCATACAATTCTGATTATTCTATATGATATTATAAGAAAATTACTAAAAGATGCATAAACTACATTTAAAAAGAGAGGGGGGAAGGAACAATCTAATACCTGGTTATTTAACAGCTTTCTCTTACAATCTGAAAAACATCTTCACATTTTCGCTCTAAAAACACTGATGCACCATGTGATCTTGAACATTAGCACTCGTCAGAGCAAGCAGAGGTGCCAATGCTCCGGTCCGCGAGGTTTGGCCCATTAATAGCTATAGATATCTGTGACAGTAGTTTTTTTTACTGTACTGCATCATATTTATTGTTCTGTAAGTGTAAGTTAACGTCTTTTAAACAGTATTTGTACAGTTTATTTCAGTATTTGTGCTGTCATTTCAGTCTGCCGCCCAACCTCTTGCTCGCCATTCATTCAACATTTCTGCCAGTTTGAATCATTACATATTTTAATCGATTTTTAACCAGCTCACAGTAAATCATTACATCCCTACTTCTTGATTTAGGAATTGTTTGTGTTTCATCAATTAAAAGACGCACCCCCACCCCCCACCCCATTGACGAGAATGCACTTGAAAATGCATCACTTTGAAAAAAAAATAAAATTCTGAGGTTTTGTAAAAAAAAAAGCAGACACTCGGTTCTATATTTAGAGATATAGTATGCTCATATTCTATACACTTAAAGAAGAATATATTCTGAGCACTTGTCAAATTTGTTGGTGGCTTGCAGCTTAAAAAAGAGTATTCCACAATAAAGTAACGTTTAACAAAATTATTCACATCCTTTTCTCACATACATTGAACAAAAAGTCATGGCAATATATGTTTTTATGTAACTTAAATATATTTTAAATAAGTGTTTCCCTTTATTGATAACAAATAGCATCAAGTTATACAACATTCATTTTTTAAATTATGAATTCATTATACGGCGAGGCAGTGGCGCAGTAGTGCTGTCGCCTCACAGCAAGAAGGTCGCTGGGTCACTGGTTCGCTGGTTTGAACCTCGGCTCAGTTGGCGTTTTTGTGTGGAGTTTGCATGTTCTCCCTGCCTTCGCGTGGGTTTCCTCCGGGTGCTCCGGTTTCCCCCACAGTCCAAAGACATGTGGTACAGAAGAATTGGGTAGGCTAAATTGTCCGTAGTGTATAAGTGTGTGTGTGAATGTGTGTGTGTGGATGTTTCCCAGAGATGGGTTGCGGCTGGAATCCGCTGCATAAAAACTTGCTGGATAAGTTGGCGGTTCATTCCGCTGTGGCAACCCCGGATTAATAAAGGGACTAAGCCGACAAGAAAATGAGTGAATAAATGAATGAATTCATAAAACATGTTTTTGATTGATTCAATATGATTAATTTGGACCCAACTAGGTCCAAAAATAGTAATATAATTTTGTAATTAGTCTTTTTACTGCTTATTGCTAGATTAGTGGTAGAGTGTGAAACAGATGAAGAAAAATTCAAAAAGGCCTACTCAAATTTATGGTTTTACGTATCAGGATATTATAAAAAAATATTCATTATTTTAAAACCACATCAGATATTTTATTGTGCTGATTATAAACAATTTGGAATTGCATAGGGTGATGTAACTTAGTCACATGAATGAACCACTATTTCTTGTTATTTGTTTCATTATGTCACATAAAAAGAGTTAAATTAATTAAAAAGAGTTTTTTAAGTATAATTAATAATTTAATAGAAACTGGAAAAATGTCTGTTGTTACTAATCAATAACAATAATACTGTTTTTACTGTAATTTTAGTCAAATAAATAGAGCAGTCGTGTGCAGATAACTGTACAACCCCAAAACATTTGAAAATATGTGTACCAAACGTTTTCATCCAGTAGATTTCCACTCAATTTGTTTTTGTAAAAATGCCACCAGCGGTGACTGTTTGTTTCATTTTCTCTTTTCTTTTCCGTCATCCTTGTTGTTATATTTGAACCCTGAAAGCAGAGAGAACTGAGTTAGTGCCAAGTCGCTCTCTGTTTACTGGCAACGCAGTTGTTCATTCACAGTCCGAAATCCTCATAGCTTCCCACACTGGAAAAATAAAAAATCACCTAGCCATTAAGTCCAGCATTTCCTCTAATGCTCTGTATATTGCATGGAATTCAAATGCAGGACCGTCAGCGATAGGTGAATAAGCTTTTAAATTGAAAAATCAAAAGGCATGAATAGCAAGAGGATGTGGAGTCCAGGACGCTGGCCTTCAAACCCAGCATGATTATTGAAAGCTCTGTGTCCACTGGTGTGTGAATAATAATGCCACTACGCTGATGAGCTCCATGCCAACTTCCATTTCATACACCAGCAAACAAGATCTAGCTCAGGAAAAAAAGATTCAGATTACAGATTCAGCTTACCCTCTAATCATTTTGATCGATGGCTTTAAAAAAAAGGGTGGTTCTTTATACCCGTGACAGCCAAGAATGCTTCAACGTATCTGAGCATTTGTGTCTGTCAAAAAGTCTGACACGATTTATTTGTGCCACCACATGCAGCTCAAAAAAAAAAAATAAATAAATAAATAAAACACTTAGCATTCTGCACCAGAACACAAAAGCATTCCCCTGAAAAACAAATAAGCGAATGGATTTTACAGCATACTGTTGTGCATGGTGTACCTGTACACTATGTATGTGTAATAGGAAACAAAATGAATGATATGGGTAAGAGCCTGGAAATGTTACATTTACCATGTAACCATATAAAACAAGGCAGGAAAAAATACACTTTAATATTCAGCTTGCAATCATTTGGTTTTAAATTTATCATGTACTGTGTGCACCATTTCATCAGGAAGTTCATAAATGTAATTATTTTATATATTGTTAGAAATGTATGTTCACATTCATTTAAACGTAAGGCCGTACTCACACTAGGTACAGTTGCCTCGAACCGGGCCAAAGCACGCTTGTCCCCCCTCCCGTCTCCCCCGACGGCCCGCGCTCACACCATACCGGGCCACGGCACGCTTACGTCATCGCTGCTGCGCTGTTCAGAAGCGCTCTCTATGGCAAGCCTTTTTAGCATTTAAATCTTTGTTCTGACTCCATAAATATATTTAGAGATATCTCTAATTATATTTTGACTAGTCATAATTATAATTCGACTAGTCAGAATAACAATTAGAGATATCTACAATTGCAAATGTACTAGTACGAAATCAGATTGGAGATATCTGCAAATATATTATGACTAGTCATATTCCTCCATTGACTTGCATTGAAAAATATTTGCAGATATCTCTAAATAAGTTTTGACTCGTCACAATTGTAATTAGAGATATCTCTAACTGAGTTTTACTAGTCATACAGATGTCTTTAATTCGTAATATTTAGAGATATTTACAAATATATTTGAAGATATCTCTAATTAATTTACTATTAGTCGAATTACAGTTGTAGATATCTTGAATTGGATTTTTGACGAGTCAAAACTCAGAGATATCTGCAAATATTTTTCAATGGAAGTCAATGGAGGAATATGACTAGTCATAATATATTTGCAGATATCTCCAATCTGATTTCGTACTTGTACAATTGTAATTGCAGATATCTCTAATTGTCATTCTGACAAGTCGAATTATAATAATGACTTGTCAAAATATATAATTATATCTCTAAATATATTTATGGATAGTCAGAACAAGGTTTAAATGTTAAAACGGCTTGCCATACGCTCTCATTTAGCAGCACAGTGGAGATTTCTCTAGTTATATCCTTTCAGTCGTTTGTTATGCAGTGACATGCAGTCAAATATTTCGCCAAACAGTCCTTAGGGATGCGGGGACACAGTCAGATATTTTACCGAACAGATCCGCCACTTTTGGCGCTCGTAAACAATCATTAAGCTCTCGTGCTGCAGGAATGAGGAGATCTGCTGAAGGCGCGCAGCTGGCGTGCTGTGAGGAGTTCTCGTCTTTAATAAACTACGGCAGTTTGCGATCACTGAACAGTAAGAATGATTAATAAATCCATATCAAACAGTCCCTTAAAAGTCACGT